ATCTCCGAGAAAAAAGAGAGGTAAAGATATTTGAAATTTGATTATCTATTTTATTATTATTTTTTATCATTATATTCACATATTTTTTTATTTATAAGGAGGAACGACGAAAATTTGAGGAGCTTAAAAAGAAATGCCACGAGGAATCTATGGCGATTTTAAGAAAACAAGAACTTGAAAGACAAGAAGAGGAGCGCAAGAGAGCCGAGGCAACGCGTGAGGAAGAGAAGAAGAAGGAATTAATCGTCCAAAAGGCTGCAAGAAAGGTTAAATATTGGGCGGATATGAAGCAAACGGTAAAAAACTTTTTAATTTAAATAATAATTACAAGGATGTAATCAAAAGAATTTAGTTTATTGATTGATTTCCATAAATTTTTTTTTAGTTAAATAAATTCCGATATAACGTTCAGGAAAGGCAACAAGCGGAAGTGATGCTCACATACTTCTTCCGTAATATGCCGTCAATCGATGGTTGCCACGACTTTACACGCGATATGTTTGGTAATAACCAAAGTGAAACTCCACACCTCGAATTCCCTGACGCTAAATCCGGTAAAGTTGAAAGTCCTGACCCGGCTCTCGGCTTATTTGACAATCCACCTGAGCCAGTCCCATTAAATAATCCAATGATTAACGCAAGAATGTCATGCCGCGAATGGTGGTGGTACAAGGGCTATCATCGCCGTTAAAAAAGTTCTAACAAATTGACATATTTCTTTAAATGATATTTTGATATTATTATTAATTTTTTTTTTTTCGAGTTTTTGAGTTTTTATATTTGCTATCTTAATTTTTCATCATCAAATTCTTAACGGTAGATTTAAAAATTTATTATCTTAATATTTTATCATCAATATTTCGACAATCTTCTTAAATCTTTTAATGGAGGGATTCTGAGTTAATTATCTTAAATATTTTCATCTTCAATCCCTTAACATAGGATTTTGAATTATCTTAATATTTCAGTATCAATTTTTTAGCAAGGGATTTTGAGTTAGATTAACTATTCGATCCTCAATTAACGGGATTTTTGATTCTAGATACTAAATTTATATTTCATTTAACGAGATTTTTAAAATTTTCGAGTTAGGTTTCAAAGTTATCGTGTTTTTTCATCATCAATTCTCTAATTAAAAATTGTTTTAAGAATTGTTGGGACATCAATATTATCGCTTTTAATTAGATTTTTAGTAGAAAATCAAATTATCATATATTTCTAATCAAAAAAAACTTTAATCCTTTACTGTCTAGATGTAAAGGTAATTTTATTTTTTTTCTTTGATAACGAAGGTTGCTTGCTTGTTCTGATATTATTCCTGCT